TGAGCAAAGTGTCCACCTCAACCCACCCGCCTTGGCCCTTCTTTCCCTGCGCCTCAGCTGTTCTACCCCATGGCCCAGCGCTGCGAGCAGCTGCGCCTGCTGCTGCGCGACCAGGGCGAGGGCCTGGAGGCAGGAGGCGTTTTCCCCGCATCAACAACTCAAAGGGGGTACCAAGTACCAACTCCAACCAGGGCTCCCGAAGCGCCAACCTCATCGCGACTCGAAGTTCCGAAACGCAGGCCTTCTGCCACGTGCTGGACTACGAGCTCCGCTTCGGGGCGCAGCTGCTGGAGGAGTCACCCAACTACTGGGCCCAGCGACTCCCGGAAGGCGCGAGGGCAACATCCGCGCCTCTCTCTCTCTCTCTGTTTTGTTTGGAATTTGTTTTGATTCGTTGGATTATGTTGGTTTGTTTCAATTTATGTTGAATTATTTAAACCTATCTTGATTTATGCCTATCAGGTTGCTGAAGAGGAAGGGGGGGGGGTCAGGCCCCTCCTGGACGATCTTTTCTGACTTGGGGAAGGCGCGGGGGATCAGGTTGGTGTGCGAAAGGGGCTCTGTATCTTGCGCCAAATGTGAATCTTCGGAAAAAAGGTATTTTCACTCACGGTGGTCCCCCCTCGTTCTTGTACACACCACCCTCAAACGCCAATCCACTAAGAGGGAAGCTGATCATATCCATATTCCTGAACGCCACCATTTTTGGTCGCAGGCTACCTCCGCACGGTGCCCACCAAGTCTTTGCTGCGTCACTTCGCCCAGCACTCGCCGCTCATGAAGTCGGCGCGGCTGGGGGCGGTCTTCGGGGTGGACAACCTCATAGGCGTCGGGGCTGGGTTTGGGGGGGGGGGGGGGGTATGGTGGGCAGAAATATGAACATTGAGCTTAATTAGGGGCCCTTTGGTGAACATCATGGTGGGGGAATTATGTTTTCCAACCATGTGAGAAGGTGCTCCTCATAAAAACTGATGGCCAATTGGTGGTCTTCCGGTTTCCATTTTGATCCCAAAAGAGGTACTGCAAGCACCTGCTTTGAACGGACACCAACGCAAGGTTGAGTTCATAAAAGAGCGAAACAAAAAGTAAGCCAACCAGAGGGACGGGTTTGTTGTATGGGTTTTTCTCCACATAGGGCGCCCCTGTTTGGACAATTTCCGAAGGACACTAAAGCAAAGCTATGTGCCAGGTGCCTTTGGGACCTACAAGTTGGCCTTCTTTACTACACTACGTTAGGGTTTGCTGTACTGCCTCGCATCGATGGTACGGCAGGAAGCTTGCGAGTGGGAAAGAGAACTGCGAGCGATTCCATCCAAGGGGGAGGAATTTGATGCTGGCGGAATTGGTACTTTGGGATTCCATAATTCTGGAGTTTCTTTTAGTTTCAGCCAGTTCATGGTTTCTTGTTCAAAAAGCGCAGGGTTCCATGTTAATCTGGAAGGAGGTTCCTGTGGTTGCGGGGTTGATCCTGGGTTCGCAGCAGTCTCCGCAGGCATGGCCTCCTGGAACGCACCGGGGGAGCTTCTGGAGAGCACGGACTGGGGGAAGTGGTTGCCTCCCAACGAGGTAGAGGTTCCCATTCTGTTTGTACTTTGGTCCCCATGGTGTCCAAGAAGCCTGTCCTCCGTTCCCTGCCAGCTGCCATAGCTCTTCGAACTGACACTGGCAGGACCTAGTGCTGGTGGCGCGGGAGGCGGCGACTGTGGAGCTGAGAAGCAGCCCTCAGCCGCTGCTGTCTGAGCTGCGCTACTTCCAGATCCAGGCGCTCGAGAGCGCGAAATCCACCGGTTCGCGGATGATGTGGTTCGAAACCTTGAAATTCGGACCCTCCCCTGTCGTTGGTAGAAAGAAGGGAACCAGGAGGAAATCAACCATTTTAAGGGTTTGCAACACTCGTGTGTCAAAATAAGGAGTTGGGCCCCAGAGGAGTCTTTTGGTTCCTTTAAAACAAAATCAAAGGGTGCTATGGGCAAGAGACTCCTTTACCGGGGTTGAAAGGGATTGGCATGAGAAATGGGCTGTTTCACTCAAACAGCCAGGAGCACTGCGGCAGGTTTGCATGACGCTGGTGATGTGCCCAGACCTGTCCAAATATTTGGCCAAAGCCTTCACAACCAGCCCAAATGATGCTGGTGATGCTCTTGCCCTGTTGGGCTGTTTGCATTCAAACTGCCAGGAGCTCGTGCGGGCTCCTCTAAGCTGTGTTAGATGTAAAATAGCAGCGCTTCGCGCCCCAGAAAATTGTGTTCATCACATTTGCAGCGCCAAGCCCTACTATTCAATATGTTTAACACCCTCTTTTTTCAGGAGGAAGAGGTGCCACTCAATATATTTCACGCTTTTTGCAGTGCGAAGCGCTGCCATTCAATATTATTTGACACTTTTCTGTTTCAGGCGCCATCCGTTCCTGCTGCACCAAAACCTGTCACTGTTATTGCCATTGTTGAAAATGTTTCTTCCGAACAACCAAGATCTGCAACTTTGCAATTTCCATGATGATCAATTAAAATATTTGCTCCTTTGATATCCGAGTTTTATCTATTAGCCCAAGCTACCCTGAAAACCCTGGAAGAAGTCCCCGATTCAGAACTTATTGGCCATTATCACGACGGACATGTTGTTATTGTGCCTGCGGCACACTCGACTCACTACACATCAATCATAAATAGACATCTGGAGACGCTTCGCCAGGATTTAGGTCAGGTATAACGCCCGTGCTGTTTATAGACTTAAACATACTTTTTAAATAGGTAAAATTACTTACAGCGGGGATACAACAGCTTATCGTGTGCGAGGTAAGCGTTTATGGCACTCTGTTTTCATACCGTTGTTTGGTAAATTTCGTTTTATTGATCTGGTAATGCTAGATAAATAACTGATCAGATCAATAAAACAACTAAAGGCAGTTGAAAAGGTTCTGAATAGCTGCTTCAATTGAAAAACTAAACACCACTAACGAGACAACAAAAAATACATTTAATCATTGCAACCTTTTAGTATCATACTGGTGATGTGCTCAGACCTGTCCAAATATTTGGCCAAAGCCTTCACAACCAGTTCAAATGATGCTGGTGATGCTCTGTCCCTGTTGGCCTGTTTGCTCCCATCACACTGGTGATGTAAATATTTGGCCAAAGCCTTCACAACCAGTTCAAGTGATGCTGGTGATGCTCTGTCCCTGTTGGCCTGTTTGCATTCAAACTGCCAAGAGAGCTCGTGCGGGCTCCCATCATACTCAGACCTGTCCAAATATTTGGCCAAAGGTTTCACAACCAGCCCAGATGATGCTGGTGATGCTCTGTCCTTGTTGGCCTGTTTGCATTCAAACTTTCCAAGAGCTCGTGCGGGCTCTCATCATACTGGTGATGTGCTCAGACCTGTCCAAACATTTTGCCAAAGCCTTCACAACCAGCCCAAATGATGCTGGTGATGCTCTGTCCCTGTTGGCCTGTTTGCATTCAAACTGCCAAGAGCTCGTGCGGGCTCCCAGCATACTGGTGATGTGCTCAGACCTGTCCAAATATTGGGCGAAAGCCTTGACAACCAGCCCAAATGATGCTGGTGATGCTCTGTCCCTGTTGGCCTGTCTGCATTCAAACTGCCAAGAGCTCGTGCGGGCTCCCATCATACTGGTGATGTGCTCAGACCTGTCCAAATATTTGAAAGTGCCAAGAGCTCGTGCTGGCTCCCATCATACTGGTGATGTGCTCAGACCTGTCCAAATATTTGGCCAAAGCCTTCACAACCAGCCCAAATGATGCTGGTGATGCTCTGTCCCTGTTGGCCTCTTTGCATTCAAGCTGCCAAGAGCTGATGCGGGCTCCCATCATACTGGTGATGTGCTCAGCCCTGTCCAAATATTTGGCCAAAGCCTTCGCAACCAGCCCAAATGATGCTGGTGATGCTTTGGCCCTGTTGGCCTGTTTGCATTCAAACTGCCAAGAGCTCATGCGGGCTCCCATCATACTGGTGATGTGCTCAGACCTGTCCAAATATTTGGCCAAAGCCTTCACAACCAGCCCAAATGATGCTGGTGATGCTTTGGCCCTGTTGGCCTGTTTGCATTCAAACTGCCAAAAGTGCTGTGCCCAAACCTGTCCAAATATTTGGCCGAAGCCTTCACAAGCAGCCCAGATGATGCTGGTGATGCTCTGGCCCTGTTGGGCTGTTTGCATTCAAACTGCCAAGAGCTCGCGCGGGCGCTTTGAATGCAGACAGGCCAACAGGGACAGAGCATCACCAGCATCATTTGGGCTGGTTGTGAAGGCTTTCGCCAAATATTTGGACAGGTCTGGGCACATCATCAGTATGATGGGAGCCCGCACAAGCTCTCAGCAGTTTGAATGCAAACAGGCCAACAGGGACAGAGCATCACCAGCATCATTTGAGCTGGTTGTGAAGGCTTTGGCCGAATATTTGGACAGGTCTGAGCACATCACCAGTATGATGGGCGCCCTGATGATGCTGGTGATGCTCTGGCCCTGTTGGCCTGTTTGCATTCCAACTGCCAAGAGCTCCATCATTCTGGTGATGTGCTCAGACCTGTCCAAATATTTGGCTAAAGCCTTCACAACCAGCCCAAATGATGCTGGTGATGCTCTGTCCCTGTTGGCCTGTTTGCATTCAAATTGCCAAGAGCTCGTGCGGTGCGGGCTTCCATCATACTGGTGATGTGCGCAGACCTGTCCAAATATTTGACCAAAGCCTTCACAACCAGCCCAAATGATGCTGCTGATTGTTGGGCTGTTTGCGCGGGCTCCAATCGTACTGGTGGTGATGTGCTCAGACCTGTCCAAACAGTTTGCCAAAGCCTTCACAACCAGCCCAAATGATGCTGCTGATGTTCTGGCCCTGTTGGGCTGTTTTCATTCAAACTGCCAAGAGCTCGCGCGCAGGCTCGCATCATGCTGGTGATGTGCTCAGACCTGTCCAAATATTTGGCCAAAGCCTTCACAACCAGCCCAAATGATGCTGGTGATGCTCTGTCCCTGTTGGCCTGTTTGCATTCAAACTGCCAAAAGCTCGCGCGGGCTCCCATCATACTGGTGCTGTGCCCAGACCTGTCCAAATATTTGGCCGAAGCCTTCACAAGCAGCCCAAATGATGCTGGTGATGCTCTGGCCCTGTTGGGCTGTTTGCATTCAAACTAAACTGTTTGGACAGGTCTGAGCACATCACCAGTATGATGGGAGCCCGCATGAGCTCTTGGCAGTTTGAATGCAAACAGGCCAATAGGGACAGAGCATCACCAGCATCATTTGGGCTGGTTGCGAAGGCTTTGGCCAAATATTTGGACAGGTCTGAGCGCATCACCAGAATGATGGAAGCCTGCGCACGAGCTCTTGGCAGTTTGAATGCAAACAGCCCAACAGGGCCAGAACATCACCAGCATCATTTGGGCTGGTTGTGAAGGCTTTGGCCAAATATTTGGACAGGTCTGAGCACATCACCAGTATCATGCGACCCGCACAAGCTCTCAGCAGTTTGAATGCAAACAGCCCAACAGGGATAGAGCATCACCAGCATCATTTGGGCTGGTTGTGAAGGCTTTGGCCAAATATTTGGACAGGTCTGAGCACATCACCAGTATGATGGGAGCCCGGGCCAGAGCATCACCAGCATCATTTGGTTCGCCAAGTATTTGGACAGGTCTGAGCACATCACCAGTATGATGGGAGCCCGCACGAGCTCTTGGAAGCCAAAGCCTTCACAACCAGCCCAGATGATGCTGGTGATGCTCTGGCCCTATTGGGCTGTTTTCATTCAAACTGCCAAGAGCTCGCGCGCAGGCTCCCATCATGCTGGTGATGTGCTTAGACCTGTCCAAATATTTGGCCAAAGCCTACAACCAGCCCAGATGATGCTGGTGATGCTCTGGCCCTATCGGGCTGTTTTCATTCAAACTGCCAAGAGCTCGCGCGCAGGCTCCCATCATGCTGGTGATGTGCTCAGACCTGTCCAATATTTGGCCAAAGCATTCACAACCAGCCCAAATGATGCTGGTGATGCTCTGTCCCTGTTGGCCTGAAGCTCGTGATGTGCTCAGACCTATCCAAATATTCGGCCAAAGCCTTGACAACCAGCCCAGATGATGCTGGTGACCCTGTACATTCAAACTTTCCAAGAGCTCGTGCGGGCTGGTGATGTGCTCAGACCTGTCCAAATATTTGGCGAAAGCCTTCACAACCAGCCCAAATGATGCTGCTAATGCTCTGGCTTTGCTGGGCTTTTTAAACTTAGATTACGGACAGCATGTGCGGTTGGCTCTTGATGGGATTCTGCCGCATGTGCGTTTGGCAGCTTGAATGGAACAGTTATATAGTGGGTGGCTGGTCGCTAGACCACAACGAGCATCATTGGTGCGTGATTAAGGCATAGCGACTTTTGCGTATGGTTCACCGGCTTCATGCGCCAGGAGAGAGTGGACGTCAAGTACGAGGGTAAGGATACGACCTGTGTGCGCTTTGTTTTTGTGGCAAGGGGCTGGATGGATGGACGGATGGAGGGAGGGAGGGAGGGAGGGAGGGAGGGAGATGGATGCATGGATGGACGGGCTGGCAGGATGGATGCATATATATATATATATATATACATGTATATAGGTGTGTGTTGAGGTGCGTGCGTGTGTGAGTTTGATTTGAGGATGCCCTTTATGTTTTTGTTTGTTTGCTTTCTTCCTTTTTAAAGAAGGGAATCCAAGCATTTTGGGGTGCTAGTTTTGAGACGAACCCGGATCCTTACTTCGGGGTCGCATGACTTTGCCCACGCAAGTTGTACTATGCTGCTAGGGTTGGCCGAGTTCGCTGTTTGCATTTGTATGTTGGCATGGCTTGTAAGTTTTGAGAGGTTCCCCTCGTTTGAAGGCCAAAAGAAGGACAGGTTGGGGAACAATCCCTGCGAAGACGTGTTTGCCTCCAACTTGCAGAGCCCGAGATCGATCGGGCCATGGCAAACACCTCCTGTTTTGCCTGGGCTTGATAGGGATGATTATTAACCATTCGGATAGAGTTTTAGCTAGCTGTTCAAATAATTCCTTTTTGAGGAACCCTGATCATGACTCGCAGCAGATTGATGTGGCACACATGAGCAACTTACAAGCCGGCGGTTTACTGGTTTAAAGTTTAGCACTTGAGGGCTACACCGATGCATTTGTATTTTATTGATTGACTCAAAAGCAAAGCAACCAACATAATTTACATGTTATAGGGTCTAAGCCCAATCAGTAGTCCAGCACGTGGTTACGGAAAACTGAGTTTTCGGGATCACTTTCTGTGATGCCAAGGGAACTTCCTGAAAGCGATAACGAAGTCATGGGAGGGGAGGACTTTCTAATCATTTGCCAGTGCCATCTTTTCCCACCAAATCACCCGATTCTGTGCTGTTGCCAATCCCAGGGTGTGGAAGGACACCGACAGCTGGGTGAAAGTACATGTCACAGTTCCATCATCGTTGGAGCCTGAACCACCCACTTTCACGGTGTAATCAAAGGGGCCATAGGGAGAGCCCTTCCTTCTGTTGGATCGCTCAACCAGGAGCTCTTCGGCCAAGCCGTGGGCTGCTTTGAGAACGCCTCGGCCTCAAAATCTGCCGCCTCGCGGCTAGTGCTGCTGCCAGCACTGGGGCCCGACGAGGGGCTCAGCTCCAGCTGCCTGCGGAAGGTGGGCTTCAAGTACCCTCCCATGCGATATCCACATGGAGTGTGACCAGGGGATCCTGGAAGACAAGTGTTCTCTGCCCGTTTTCGTCATGGTCTGTTCCGCGCGGGAAAGTGGCTTTTGGTCCGGGCTGCATTTTTTGGGTAGCCATTTCTAGACACTTGGAGGGCCCATGCTTTGGCAGCTGAGTAAATCTTTGATGTCCTCACACTGGAGGTGCCTGGAAGACCAATTCTGGTGGGTTCCATGTCGGAGGCTGCAAGCATTGTATGAGTAGAGCATGTTGAACCCCTTCAGATTCAACTGAGCTGTGTCTTTGCAATGACCACAGCCCGGCATTTTAAGTTTCAATGAACTGCTGCCATTCTATTTGATTAAGGGAACGCAGGATCCGGATGCTGCTAGGATATGGTCGGCGTGTGCTTAACTGTACATTGGTGCATGTTGAGCAAGGCATGTTTGGTGGCAATTTCTATTGGTTTGGGTTGGTCACTTGTGGAATTTTGGACCTGAAATGGGAATCTGACACATTATCGGTGATTAACAAGGTCTAAAAAAATGCCTCATCTCGTTTCGACACCACAAAGACTGTCTGGATCCTGAAGGGCAAGCCCCGAATGAGAACTTCTATTTAATTCTGATACCTGTCAGCCTCAACCAGATGGGGGGAACGCAAAAAGTCGGGACAACAGACAACACCCTCCTCTCCCCTCCCCCCCCCAAAAAGCAGCAACAGATCCCCAGCTTCACCACTTTTCGCCTTTTGGTTCATGGCATGTTGGTCCGCCCAAAGGGTTCGCCTCCCCCGCTGGCCAAGCCCGATGTCCAGGCGCTGGCGGAGTGCCTGGCGACCTGCCGGCAGCACGGCTGCGCCTCAGAGGAGCCGAAGAGTCGATGGCTGGGGGCTGGGAGTTTCTCGCTCGACGACTTCGGTCTCCATCAAGGTACCCTTGAACAAAATTGTATGCTTGACATCAACCACATCCAGTTGTTTGATCTCCCTCTCTGCCAGTCCAAAATTCCGGTGTGTTTTATAGACACGTGTACATGTTTTACATGAGAAGTCCGTCCGTCGGTTCCAGGAGCTGCTGACCTGCCTCTTGTACCACGGCCTCCGCAGCGCCGCCGCGCTGAAGCGGGAGGCGGAGAGCGCGGACGCGGGGAGCTCAAACGCGACGCGCACGCGACGCGTCGAGCCGGTGTGGGCCGTGGGCTTTTGGGGGGGGGGGATGGACACTTAGAGTCTGTTTAGAGTCTGTTTTGCAGGTCCAAGCCCCAAAGAACCCAGTGCCCTAAAGAGGGAGGTTGCAAAATAGACTAGGGTGGGGGGGAGGGGGAAGGGGCCCCACAGGAGCTAAGCATGTTTATAAATAGATTTGGTTTAAGGTACCCCGTTATCCTATGAGGGCGTGAATATGATCATAGAATTTTTTTTTGTCATCATCTCGCCCGCTGGACTTACTTCCCCTTCAAGCTTCTGATATGGAACCCCAAAACGGGTTCCCCTCGAAACATTGCTCCTCCAAAAGTGGTGTTTTTTGGTTGGTTTATGTCAATCCGGAGTCTGGAGGGTGGCTGTATCTTTGGGTCTCTCTTTGGATACTTGTGGACCTGGGTAGCTTGGGGACCGAGGTGCAGATCTCCGCCCTGTTTCTGGAGTCATAGGTTTTGGGTCAGAAAACCAGGGGCTAAATACTTAACAGTTTATTTCTTTCGAGAGGATGGCACACTGTCTTATCCTGCCGGCCTGTTGGGAGGTATCCTTCTCGGGAGGTGCGGGTGGCCGGCTTGCCTAGCAGTTGCTTTGCGCGCAGGCCAGCTTGCTTAACTGGGCTGTGTTGCCAACCTCTTGGATGTTCCAAGATGTTGTGAGCAGCCGGGAGGGATGGCGCCTTAGGCAAGGTCCTGCCGCCGACAGAGGCTTCGCCTCACTCACTTAAGACATTATTTGGTTTCAAGTACCACGCGACTCCATTCCCATTCTATTCAGGGCCTAGCTGCATTTGCATGAGTGTTGTTTTTTGGTCAATTTGGCTGGACTGGTTGCAGGTTGGTTCCATTCATTTCTCATTGGGGGGGAACCGTCTACATGTCCGAAAGGACACCTGGGGTGCCAATGGTGCACAAAAGCCTAGGCATTTAACTCCGTGAACCCCACAACCCATTCCACAAATTCAGACCCTTGACTCCTTCACCAGGCTTTGACTCATGTTTTCAGGAGCGCGGGGAGCGTGTGAAGCGCCTCAAGGTCTGAGTGCTGAACCCACTCGGTTCCCCATGTATTCAGGGGACCGGAAAACTCGGAATCTAAAAGCGGGTTTTTGAAGGCTTGCGCCAAGGGTCAATCATGTTTGTAGCATCCCAGAGACCAATTGTTAGAACCCATTTGGGGTCTCCCCAACGGATATTAAATATACGGGTTCAATCGCCTTCAGCCGTATGTTGCAGGGATTTTGTAGGGAAAGCTTGGGAGGCTTGCCTCCATTTGCGAACGTTCTGTTTGGGGACGTCTGGAAAGCGGGGTACACGCGGCGGGACACAAGACAGTTGTGAGACCGATGAGAATACCTTTGTCGAAGGGCTTTGGGGACAGAAACCAGTAGGGGCAGTGTTCCAGCTCGAGCCTTCACGACCTGAAATCCTGATAGCAGTGTGAAGGATTTGGAATGGAGGCATTCCGTGTTTGGAACCTTTTTGCCGGCTTCGTTTTGTAGGTTTCGCGTTTTCGCTGTGGTGGCGGGAAAAGAGAAGGCGCAAGCTGCTGGCGGAGTCATGGGGTCGGGGTCGAAGGAGCTTGGATTGACTATAAATGTCAACCCCAAGTCAAGGAAACTTGCGGATGAATAGGGGGCCCTTCCCAGAAGAAAAGGACCCTCTAAGAGGAAAGGTTTAGACTTATACCATAGCCTTGCATACCTGACCAGTTTCCGATGGGCTTTTGAGATGACCAATGGCAACAACTTTTAAGTGTTGCGAGAACCCCCTGCTTAAACAAATGTTTGGTGTTTTGGGGGGGTCATGATGTAGGTCCCCTACACCCCTACAAGAGCCTGGTTGTTCAACATATATTTTTGTTCGGGGTGGAAGGCAAACGCGTTGTGCATGGTATGCTTGTTGATATAAACTCACGTTGCTGGTTTGAGGGAGCTTTTGAGAAAACTATTTGCATACCGATTTGCCGATTCTGTTGGCACATGCTTGTTTGCAAGCTGCCAATCATGGTCTGCCTCAACCCCCAACATTTCTCCGTCAAATGAAATGGCATTTTTTACTCCTTTACCCCTTGCTTCCCTCGCCCCTCCCACCCCATCGTCCCTTCGCCCCTTCCCCCCTCCACCCCTCCACCCCTCCACCCTCCGCCCCTCCACCCCTTCGCAAACCCTTCCTTCCTTTCTTGCCCTTCATGCACTCGCGCGATGGCGAGGCCCACCCTTGCGGCAGTGCCGCAGTTCAGCATGATCGGGCCCGCGTATCTCTACGTCTACAAGCTGACGCCAAAGCCTCAGAAAAAGAAGAAGAAGCAAAAAACCAGCGAGCCCTAAGTGAGTGAGGTCCAGTCGGTTTTGATACGGACTTTTGGGGTAGGTTTGGATAGATCCTGAAAGGTGAGCCTTTGGTTCTTGTGCTTTCGGAAGAGGGTGCTTTTAGATGCTTGGAGCTCTGATTGGGAAGCTCCCTGCAGTGGGTATGGCAAGCAAATCAGGGTTACTACTCAAATGCAACCTGGGTGGTCACTTGGCGGAGCGTCAAGCGCGTCTAGACCTTGACGATATTGTTTGGAGCTTTTCTTTTTTTAATCATCAAGTTCCCAAAACGGGTGCCTGTTTTTCACGAGGGGCCACTGAGGGTCTGAGAGTATATCGATGGTCCGCCATAAGATACACATTCAGAAAAGTGGCCATCAGGTTTTGTGTGTCATTTTGGGCCGGAGTGACTGCGGAGACAAGCACGTCCTGCGTATTTGCTTTTTGTGTTTGTGCCAGCCTTGTGTGCGTGTGTGCCGAGTGCCTGATTTACCCGGGGGCCAACCATTTGTCTCGCAGGGGCATTTGTGTGCCATGTTCTTCTTGCAACCGAGCATGGCGCCTGATTTCCAAGTCGTGCCAGCGAAGCTTCGGAAATCAGGGTGGATGAGATGCTGGACGCAGCACCTTGTACCTGCTGTACAGTGATGCAAAGTCTCCTTGGCCCCCACTCGTTGTGCCCCGCTATGTGTGTTTTTGCCTCTGTTTGAACTCGTCAACGTCTTTGAACCTAGAGGGAGGCCATTCGGATTTGGTTTGAACTGGTTGGACTTGATTTGGTTGGCGCTTAAGTTGATCTTATTCGACATGAGTTGAACCCGCGCCTGATCAGATCACTCCCTTTGGAGTCCAAGTGTGCCTACTTCATTTGGGGGAACCTCGGCACGCTGCGGGATGGCTACTTGCTACTTCTCCCCTTCTTCCTTTTGGCCCCCTTTGCGGGATGGCTTCCTCTTCCTCTCGCTGGTCACCTTCTTCTTTGTCTTCCTCGTCTGTGTCATTTTGGTTTTGCTGGGTGTGCTTCTTTTTTGTGTTGGTCTTCCCTCGCCTCTCTATGTGTATGTCCTTACTGTCGTCTTCTTAGTCTTCCCGGTTCTTTGGCATTGAGGGTCCTCTTCGCGTCGTTGCTCTGGCCTCTTTGCGGGATGGCGTTTTGATCCCTTGTACTTCAACGTGGCCCTATGTTCTGTTATTCATATTGCGTGCAAGGATGCCTCCTACGCATGTGACTGATGTCTTTATAGCATGGGTGTTTGCTAAAACAGATACTGCCACCCTGAATGGGCAGTGCTGACTGGCTTCATTTGAGAAGCTCTCCTTTTGTAGAAACCACCTTCAGGTTCATCATGCTTTTTTTTGCATGTTTTGCGAGATTTGTGTTCAAGATTTGAGCAGAGCTGTTGTCGTTCCGATCACGAAAGAAGGCAAATGCAACCCAAAGTGACCGCTAGATCTTGCCTTTGCAATGCGTGAGCCATGCACTTTCATGCAACTGCAACCGCAAAACAAACAGTGAGGGAGGGTGATAAACGAGTCAACCGAAACTGACATTTTGGTTTTAACCAGTTCTGTCCATGTTGATCATGGCTCCAAAATAATGAGCGCACACTTTGAGCCTCCCCCCCCCCCCGCCATTTGGGTTGCATGTTTTTTCAGAAGGTTCGGTATTTTGTGAACGTGGTTGTCAAAGACCAAGGTGATCAGAACCCACTGGAATCCGTAAGACCAGTTCTTGTGGGTTTTCTTTCCGCCCTCACTTGCGCCCAGGGACAGTCGCGGCACCGCGGTCTGGGCGGCCTCCCTGGCTGGGGGCCCGAAGGAAGGGCTCCAGGTTGAACCGTTTTGCGTCATTTGGTAGGCGCTTTTTCCAAAGCCAACTGTTCTGAATGGCGGTTCACCCCTTAAATTTCAAGGGGATCCAAAAGGAGAGTTGCCTCTGCAAATGGTGGCTTGTTGGGTTCCACGTTTCCATGGAACCTGACTGAGACTGGGGCTCTACTCGGGTGGGTTGCATGTTAGTGTTTTTTCGTTCAGGTGTGGGAGGGTGCATCATAGATGTTAGCTCTGATTGAGAAGGCAGCGGGTATGGTGGGCAAATCCTTCTTTGTGTCTTTTACCTGTGTTCCTAGCCGGCACAGCCCGTCATTGAGCATGGGGGCACAACTTTGTCGAAGGAGTCCCGCGAAAATTAAGTTCCGAAATGGTCGCCTTTCTTTCCGAAGGGGCCACTCAGGGTCTGAGAGAAAACCGATTTGACATCTAACGCATTCAAACAGCCATCAGGTTTTGCGCGGTGTGGTTGGGATTCTTGTGGACAAGATGCCTGATCACAGGGTAAGTGGGAGAAGTTCCAATTAAAGGGCATTTTTCTCCCTGGCGGGGCGTATCCCAATGGTCATGGGAAAGAGGGAGCAGTATTTAGTTCAACCTCTTGGTGCTCTTTGTGACGCGCACCCGGGGCAGGTTTGGCAAGCCCAAAAAGGAACAAATGCATTCTTCGCAGATCCAGAGGGACATTTGTATGCAAAGGAGGTAGGTCCCATCAAACTAGTTGATCTCACTTGAGGTTTCAAGGCATTCGAGCTGATTGGGTCATGGCTCGGGACAAGTGTTTGGATCCTATCTGGACATTTTCCGAAAACGTATTTGCCCCATGTCATTTGATTCGCCTCCATGAGCTGATACCAAGATTCGATACCGTTTGAGCCTTTGGTTTTGAGAAAACATCGTAAGACAGCTCATTTTGTGCGAGAACTCCAACCGCATCTTGATTGGATCCCTTCTTTCGGGTCTCGAGACCGTTGCCCAAGTTCCAAATGGCATCGTTTTTCTTGAAGGGAACACCTTGAGATTTCACCGGTGCAAGCCCGATGTGAACATATTCCCCCGAGCCTTGCACTGGCAAGTGAAGTGCCCCAGACTTGTAGGCAAGACCTTGCCGGCAGCCAAGCACCATCATCCACTCAACTGGGTTGCTCCGAACCTTAGAATTGGCTTTGAAGGACATAACTTTTCTATTTGGAATCTCATTATCTTTCTCTTTTACATTATATTTATTATATTTCTATTTCTTATTTATAGTAATCTTTCCATTTTCCCTTCCTTTTCATTTACAGGTTACTTTCGTACATCCAAGAAACCCTGAAAATAGAGTGGGTTTGTGAGTGAAGATTACAGGTGATAGGTGTCATCAGGAAAGAAGGTGTACCAGAAGATAGAAGTAAAGGGAATTAGGTCATCAGGTTACATTCTTTTGCATCTTCATCATTCATCTCGACAAGGAACCATAATATCCATGAAATCTTCTTATTAGGCTAGGATTGTTTGGTTATCAGGGTATTTTCCTTTCGTATCTTGGCTTTTCTCCCATGCACAAGTTACATCATATGACCTCAGAAATTCCAGATGAACAATAATAAAGCTGCGGAATGAAGAAATCCCAACATGAAAGAGATGAACTGTGTCTTTATTACCCGGCATATCTTCATTCTGTATTTTTATAATGCCGGGAGATGTCGTAAACAGGAGATGAGTGGCTTGTCCGTGGTCCAATCTACATAAATAAATAGAAAAGGAAAATGAAAGAAGAAAGTGACTGCAATTCCAGTCTGTTTCCTTTTCATATTTTATTCATATGCTTTTATTATCTATTTCTTTCTCTTTACCATTGACCACAGACAGATAACCGCTCAATCACGAATGAAGGATTCTATAGACACATTATGATTACATTCTTTCCTAATCCTTGACCACAGGAAAGAAATAGATTGGTCAAGGGAAAGGAGAAAGAAAGTAACATAACATCTTTATCTTGTCAACTC